CTCCTGTTTTGCTTGTTTAATGTGTGTACACCGGCTCCGTTGATGAAATGTGTCTCCCATTCATATCCCCCCTTTCTTATTCCTTCGGGTTTACACCGGATATGGGGTGTGTTGGTGGTGCAGCGCAAGCCGCCCATGATCCCTTTATAGGCGCTGGCGTCCTGTAACTTTCCTATGGAAGCCATAGTAACAGGCAAATCAGGGCACGGATGCCGCCAATCCATTGTAAGATTTGACGATTGCACACACACGCACACTCGAAGCGGTATCTAGGGCGACCAGAACGTTGTGGCGTGTCAATCGTATAAGATATGGATTTTTCTTCGTCGTCTAATGCAGCCACCTAGTTGAGGTGATTGCTTTTTTGAATTTCGGACCAGTTAGGTATTTTTTGACAATTTGGCTAACACGATAGAAGGTTGAAAAGTATCAGATGCACGCATTTTGCATTGTCCCGTCAACAACGAAACTAATAGCACAGAAAGCTGAGTGTGCAACTATTTTGCAGGAAGGGGATGGGCGTGGGGCCAATATGATGCACTTATGTCCATAGCAGCATGCGGTTGATAAATACCTACTTATGAGTAGGTGATGTTTGATGGAATCTTTTGGCAGCGGCCTCATGTCAGGCAACCTGCGCATCCGGACAAGCACTATATGACCGTTTCGTTCTATCGGAACTTGTCAGTAGTTCGCATCCTTCGAATCCACTGCGTACCAAATCTCCCGGCATCTTATGCCACCAGATCGTAGCTAGCAATGGCCAGACGTTATGACTTACAAGCTACTTGCGACGTAGCACTGTTCATCCTTTGCTGTCGGTCGGTGGCCGAGTGAACTACGCGCTTGCCTCGGCTTCAGCAGGTTGCCGGTTCGTATCCGCATAGGTTCCGGCAACCTCACGGTATACCCAGCTCACGCGCGACAGGTGGTAGTCGCGTGGCTGCGAATCTTCGGTGGTATGCCGGCATAGACATAATACTTTTTAAATCAAAGACCTTGCGACGAACAGAGTTGGATCCTCGAGCCGGGGTTGGGCACTAATGCTGAGCCCCAAATAGGACAAAATTGCTGTCTAGGCCTCTTTTTGCATACGTTGGAGGCCGTCTGAGTGGACTGTTACCAAGACGCTGGCTTGTAGCCTTGAGGATCACAAACCTGCATTGTAATCCGACGTCGCGGGTTTGAGCCTGCGTAGGGATCGGTTGACCCTCTCGCTATCCTTAGCTGACGTGCGACTGGTGATAGTTACGCGGCGGTGAAGCGTCGGTACTGTGTACCGGCGTACTGCTGATGAATTCTTCTTGTTGCGAAGACTCTTCAGTAGGTTAAAAATAAGTTTTTGCGCATGTGATACAGGCTTAATCCGGTTTTTTTGCTATGGCTTCAGCGAAACGTATCGAACGGACGATACCATGTCCCAAATTAACTGAACGCAGACGATTGTTTCTGTTGTTTGACGTCATTGTTTCCGTGGCAATGGAGATGCGAGACCAAACGCTAGGCGGTAACTTGGTGGGAAGCTTTTGGAAGACTTAGACCTCTGTTGATTACAACTCATTCCCAAAAATAGTGCTGAGACATCTGCTTTCTGCGTCCCACTGATGCTGTCGTGATCACGCGGATCGAAACTCGGGCTGTATATGCAGAAACAAATATTTTTCCGGCTCAAACCTTTCTGTACAAGGGGCATCACATTTCTTCTTTTCTTTGGTACCAACGAGACAATATGCAATGTGCGTATCTGCCAGTTTTCATCTCTCAATCGGTCAACCATTTGTCAAAAGCAACCCACCTACACCATATCCTGTTTTGCTGAAAGGAATTCATCTGAGCAATCTTGCCAACTGACGATAAAGCAGTACATGCTACCGTCAACTAGCAAATATTCTCCTGGTGCACACATCCGACTTGATTAGAACGGATCAGCAACGATCCCAGAACTGGACTTATTAGCTTACTAGTTTCGTGATTGTGGAGGACTTGCTTTCTTATTCTCGGCGTTGGCCCAATCCATTCTCTCGATTTTGCAGTTTTTAAACAAGACTGCTTCGTTCAGTCTTGTCATCTAGAGGGCGATCTTTAGAACCGTAATCCACCTATATCTGTTTCGAATTTGGGAGCTTTCCGTGATATTGCTCAGTCATTTAGAAAAGCTTCACTTGCCTGGTATGTCCAATTATCCGATAAATTGGACCGACTAATGCAGGCGCGTGCAATCCCTATGGTTCACCGGTTAGTAGGCTGCCAGTCAGATTCTCAAAACTTACTGAGACTGGTTACTTTATGGGACATATATTATTTCTGTCTGCGGGTAACTGCTTCCCGAAAAGTACCCAGTTTTTCGACGCTACGTATTTAATGATGATCGCACCATCTTTTAGATAACTACAACGACTGCGCCTACCGTATTTCTTGATGGTTTCAGCTACTTCGGTTTCAAGCCTTTGCTGCAATCATTCAGTCGCCTCGATCTCTTCCTATGCGTCGCTTGGCTAAATGGAACTCTTATGCAAAACCTTTTTTTCGCATTGGTTTGTTTAAAAGGGGGTAAACTTAAAAATGCGAAAGACGACCTTTGAAAACATGAGCTAATTTCTCCAGCGTGCGTTTTTACTTCGGAGGGAGTGGAGGTCAGTCCGATTAACTAATCGCATTACAAGATGCCATCTCTTGTAGGGGTACAAGCACTCAGTAGGTTGAGTGATATGAAAAATTGGTTATCTTATTCAAATTTGCAGACCTTATCTCATCCATGCTACCAAGCATGTGTGAGAGTTCATTTTGGGAAACGCATGGAGCACGGTGTCTTTCACCGTTATGTGCTTGGCCAACCAATACTACTTTATTACTGGCCTCCATTCTGCCATTGACAGTCGCAACAAAGCATCGGTAAGAAGTACGAGGGTACCGTTTTTGCTTACGATGATGATGTTTTAGGTGGTAGTAACTGCCTTGACGTCTGCACAGCTGTTACATGGTATCTGAAACTCATAGTGGCACAGCATCATTGTATGTGAGTAGGAGAGGTGATTCTTTCTGTAGTCCGCTCTATGGATCTCTCCGGTTTTAGTATGTTTGGAAAACAGCATTTGGGGCCATTTTCTTAGCTTTACTCTTGCTAAACTGCACGGCTCTGCGGGACTCAGGGGTAAAGAACTACCCTACTACTGAGCCAACGCGTTGAAATGACCATTGATACCGGTCGGTTGTTGGGTGAATCACGCGACCGTTTCACTCCTCCACGTGCACATGTGGGAACAGACTTCCATCGGACTCATTCGCTTGTGGACCAAATCATGGATGGAGCGAGCGAATGGGTGTGTCTATCGTGGACCCAGTTGGAGCGCCCGTTGTGTGAATGAATTGCTACACACCCACAATCGGAGCCGCAATTTACATGTTTTGCTTAAGCTCAGTCGCTTACGTAGGCCTGGTCATGTCCTCCATGTATGCCTATTGACCGGCTTCCTCAGCGTGCATTATGCACCGTGGCTGCACCAACTTGGGTAAACCCGCGTGGTAGCCAGTCGATGACGGAGCATGATGCACGAAGAAATCGTTTGCGAGATTTGGTCAGATTTGTGCATGTTGTCTTCATGGATAGGTGTCCCGGTATGGTCCACACCAGTGGTTGTAGACCACTAGCCGAATAACCACGTGTGTTTAACCCGTTCCAGCAAATAGTTCGACGGCAGTGTTCCAGCACTTGGTGGCTTTTCACCTGTGATGCGTTCTCCCTATAAAAACAACAACACTGTGAGGTGGCAGATGTGACTCGCCACTAACTGAAGTCGCTGCCCAAGCTTATCAAATCCACAGACATCAAGCATTTCTTCAGACACCGGCGACGCGATCGAACTTCTTCAAAAGAACAACAACACATTTACAAACACAAGCAACACACCTCCTACATACCTACATTTATGGATCCACATATATTAAAATCCTATTGTACTATTGCACATTTCTTGATCAATTGTTGTACTATTACCAGGATCATGCCTTTAATAGCGTGCCTCGCGTAGACGAGAATAAAACATTTATTTATTTGTTTATCAGACATGCAGTCGAGCAGTCAGTGGCGTTCCTGCATTCGGTTTATTGTATCTAGCCATTAATTTTCCATCCCGATTATTTTCTCCTACTTCTGTCCTGATTCCATTTTCTCTGTACTCTCTTTGCGTTTATCCTCATTTGCTTACCGTTGTTATGTGTATTCTGTCGACATGAGCCGTTGCAACTGGATCCACGGCACATCGGTGCCTGGATTGTAGTTGTTCAATGAACTTCACATGTTTGGTCGGCCACCTCTACTGTATCTGAAAGAGGCAGTTGCTGTTTCCCATTCGCGACACTGCACTCCGTGACTCCGCACGTAACTGTTTGTCCTCTTCATATCTAGCAGGCTGCAATTCGAACCCGGGTCACATAGACCACCGACTAACCTCTTTGTCCCTTAGCCACGGAACCACAGGCTCCATTTGTTAAGATGGTTAATGACTCATATTGCGTTCATCTGAATCACCCGTTAATGTATTGTGGCACATCTGCAATTAGAACCGCCGTTTACATTGGTTATTTGGACCGTATATGAAGCTGGTTCGGCCTGATCTTGGGTACATCTGCGTTCGTGAGTCCAAATGTTTGACCTCGCTGTTCCTAAGGGACCGACGAGTCCAACGAACAAACGATGGTACGGATCCACCGTGCTAGCTGTTCACTTCATTCTTGATGAATTTTCGTACACCCTCGGTAGCTTCGTGCCCCTTTCGAAAACTTTTATTTATACATGAACGTTCCTTTCTACATAATTTTTCTTTTTCTGTTTCATATGTGCAAAAACCTTGAGCTGTGCTACGGCTTCCATAGCGACCTAACCGTCTCTTCGGACTGAGACTACGTTTTTAAAATTCCTGCCGTTACGATGGTTCGATTCCTTCCCAACGATTAACCCCCTGCTCTCGCGCATATTTATTGTTCTCTTAGTCAACTCGTTCATGTTCCCTGCCACCAGTCTTCTCAGTATTATAACCATCGATATTCGATTTCACTTTCTGCTGATTACCCTACGGTCTTTGTGCACAATCCTATCACCCAATGTGTTGCTTACTCTACGTCTCATAGGATCACTCATGGTAGCCGCCGGTTGCTCTGATCAATCTATACGGTTGTATCAATTTGTGGATCCCTACAAACCACAACTATCAGAAGTCCTTCACGCACACGACGTAAGCACTTGTGGGGGTCAATTCATCTTTCATTTAACGCTACTAATTACGCATTCAGTAATCAAATTCATCCTTGATATGCCCTCTTTTCTGAACTGAAGACTTGCTGAATCAATAAGTGCGCTTATTAACACTTTCTCGCACTCTTACAGGACAGCGTCAACAGTGTAGCCTTCAGCCACTGTGGTCTGAAATTGGCCTCGGGGAGCTCGGATGGAGGAAGTTGCTGGCTCTGGCGCCTTCAGGCTGGCAAATGGCGCAGCTTGGTTCTGTCGTTCCGTAAACGGTTGGTTAATTTGTGTACCATGATACATCTTCCCCTACTTCATTCCCTTGCTCTACGCCCCGGATGGGCATCACTTTATTTCCAGTGTTTTGGTCAATCTCTAAGATGTAAAGCACTGAGTTCCCTGTATCATTCTAAATAAGACAATGACAAGACTCGTATTGCGAGATGGTACCATTTTCTGTTATCTGTGTGTCAGCTTATACGCCGTAAAGGCGCTTCGCTGCCGCGCGACCACCACCAGTCGCGCGCGGGCTGATTATACCGCGTGGACGCCCACCCCTACGCGGATTCGAACCGGTGACCTTATGGTTGGAAAGCAAACGTGCCGACCACTCGGCCACCGGCCGACTTTCTGTTATCTACTCACTCGCAAACTAACAACATAAATATGAATCGCATGACAGAAAAATCGGTTTTTAAACTGGAAAGGGAAATGATGTAGACGTAAGAATAACAGATCGACGAACTTGATCTTAGGTTCATGAGCCCTAAAGGAAGCTTTAGGGAAACTTAATTGTCTCTACACAAAGAATAGGGCGATGCCTGTTAAGTGCCACAGCTTCGGCGAATCTCAAAACTTTGAGGTTTTCATTTCGATAGGTAACTGGAACTGTTGACCTAGGGTCAACCTGATAGCCTGTTTCGATTAGATGTCGGATCAAGTTCGTCGATCTTATTCTTGCATCTACGTAATTCCCCTTGGTGACCAATTGAAAACCCTCGGTTTTCCTGTCACGTGATTCATATTTATGTTGTTAGTTTACGAGTGAGCAGATAACATGAAATGGTTCCATCTCGCAATACCAGTCTTCTCTATGAGATGATTTGCGCAGCATCAGCCGCAGTGTTCCTCAGCATGTTCGGAACGAACATTCTCATGACGCCTGTCAGTTATTCTCTTGTGCGAAATCTGCTCGATCAAAGTACCATGTGACCCAACTAGGATAATCCATCTCGCTTGCAGACAATGTGCCGAGTGTACAGCGTAATTCAATGACTTTTTGCCAAGTTTGGTATAAGCATGCGGTAGTTCTACTTTCCGTACATCCCATTTGATTCGGGTTTGAATGTAAATTGCTCGCAGCCTAACACTAAGAATCCCCTTGGGTTTACCTTGATTCCACTATTAGTTAGCTTTGATACACGCCGTCGCTTTCTGACTTTTCAATAGTGCTTCCACTTCCATCTCGCTAGAGCTTTTCCCATTCCTAGCATTGGATTAGGATTGGTACCTCGAGCAAGCTATGGGACACAGCTGTTGTCTCCGCTGTCAACCTACCATAATTCCATTTAATCTCACCCGCACTTTATGGGCTAGAATAACCTTCTTGTCTGAGCCGGTCATCGCTTGATTTCGTTTCTAGCCCCACAATATTTTTCTCTCTCCGTGGTGTGAATGCTCTCCATTGTCATCATCGACTATCCTGTCACGTTCTCCCGGTTTTACATGGGCAGCACTCACTGTTCAGCCAGTCGTCACAATCGTTTCGGCCTCGCTCGGTTTTCGTGCATACTTTCGGCTAACCATTCCGCTTCTACATACGAAATCAAACTGAATACACTGGTCGGTTGACACGTGACACCCGAAAAGTGCAGTCCTCCTAATTAGCATCCTCCAGATTGAACGAATTCGACTAAAACTTGGTTTCGTAATCACGTGACTTAATCAATTACAGATTCGCTGGAAATTAATCCATCTGTAGGCGTTATATTGTGGCAGTTGGAGTTCGCTGAGCTTGGTGATTTCGTTGCGGACGTTTCATTACTATTCAGGGTGATATCAACAGTGTGTCCTTGCGTGATGTATTATAGTTACCTAGCCCTGCGGCACAAAACTGAGGTGTTTTCCATCTCTGACTAACGTGTATAATGTTGATGAGTCGCGTAGCGTAGGGATGCCTCGGTGAGGGTGCCTGGGTCCAACTTATTCCCACAGTCGGAAAGCAACGGAAAAGCGATGTGATGGGAAATCGAAAGGAAGTGGGAGCCGTGGAGGAACTGCTTTGTATCGCTGAATCCGGATTCATTCGCGAAAGCATCTCTGAGTGGTACAGGCCAGGCCAATTACATACTGTCACAGCATCACAGGCCGCAGAACGAAATGTACACACAGACTGTACAGGGCTCATGGCATCGGACGATCAGCTGAGACCTTGACGGGTGTGATGTCAGCTGATCGTTTAAAGGGAATGGACAGATAGAAAATCGCTTGGAATTTCACCAAACACTTTTAACTTAGATGTCGGTCAACTTAGCACCCAAGCGGCCATCATCACATATGATTGAACTCAGCCAGAAATTGACTGTGTGACAGCCTCCGGATCACGGAGAATTTCGATTGGCTCGTCCATCAACTAAGGCTGGGCAACATCCAACCATTGGAACTAGTCTCACAGTGTATGGATGGCTCAATCACAACTCGTGTTAACAGCGAGATATCACGACTAAATGTACCCCAGAGACAGTATGCCGTTTTGTACTGATTGAGTTTTACTCGAGGTTTTGAGGGATATGCACCAGGCATATGTTCTTTCTCCACACTCGATACGAACTTCGTCACTAACGCTAACCGTCTAATTAATTCATCCTCAAATATGGTGTCTCACCTGTGTTTTCACCCTCCACCGAATTTATCCACCGATGACACGTGTGTTAGCCAGCCTTGTATGAACTTTGGGTAAAAATGCCCGAAAATTGTATTTGAACCCAGGATTTTGGTCTGTCGGTGGGCGCGTTCATCATCATTTCTGATTCGCTTGTCAGGTCTTCACCCAACGAGCCTCCCGTTTCCTGTGCCGCTAAGCAGGCCAAGGACTCCGGCACTTAGACCTTCAAGCTTCTTCATCTCTACAGAGACGAAAAAAGTAAAAGGAACCTCTCATAGCTTCAAGAAACTTCGTGGCATCCAATTGACCGCTATGTATTTGGTACTAATTGGAATCCACTAATCTCGTTACAATTTCGGCGATAGAGTGTACCAATTCATATATAAGCATCTTTTAAAGGCTTCTAAAGTATTACATTCCACTGGTGCATGAGGAAGTAATTTCCAACTAGGTACTACGCAGTTATTGAAAATTTTCCCCTGGATATCCAGTGATGACCACTACTTCATGAGCTGATGATGTCACCACAGGTCGTTCGACGTAGCTAGTTCGAAGAAATCGTTAAGCTTAATGCCACTGAGACCATTCATAGCTTTAAACCATTTTATCAGGTATATCTTTAATCTGCGTCATTCCAACGAGAACAAGCCTAAAAAGTCCAGGCGGTCAACATACGACTTCTGACGCTGGCGTTCAATCATTCTGATGGCCAGGTTTTGTACCTTCTCTAAACAAGCGAGATCCTTTCTAAAATAAGGTGCCCAAGCCTGAACGCAATGCTCTAAGTGCGGCCGAACCATCGCTTTATATATAGGGAGAAAAACCTCAAGGTTTAGTATTACGCAGCGCTCTCCTGTGGTGAACAAATTTCGGCCGCGCTCTGTTAGCAGCATGTTGGCATTGTGCCGAAGGCCTTAAACTATCTACCATAACGATGCCCAAGTCCTTGCCTAGTCTGCACACTGTAATGTCAGGGACCGAAGGTATTACGCGCTTGCGTTGTACTTCTTTTGCAGCTAGTTCGAATCCGCGAAGGTGCGAGAGACCACGCGGTATACCCAGTCATCGCGCGACTTATGGTGGTTACGCGACAGCGAATCCTCGGTGCGCTGTGCCGGTGTATCGCCGATGATTTCCTTTCTTTGAGCATTCGCATCCAACAGATGAAATAACTTAATCTTGGTGTGCAAATTTTGCTTCAAAATAACTCTCGGCCAACCTTGTAGCTTCCTGATTCAATACGAACACGGCAGGTGCTCCTTAAACGCACGAGCATTCTAATGTATCTGATGTGCTCTGTGATTTCATTTTTGTTTTATACTGCATCACAATGCTGTTCCTCCTCTAGCGGTGCCTGATGCCACCTTGATGATGAAATGACTTGGAACAAAAGGTTGAAAGCTGCAGACGTTCAAATGATTTTCTACACGGAAGAATGTCAGAAGTAGTGTGGATGTAATCATCATTTGGAAAAGTTAACAGCACAAAGCGAAAGACTGTGTGCAAGCACTTCCCTGCTTTACCTACTTTCAACAAATAGAAAAATCGGTGACTTGGGTCTGGCATTGATATGCTGGCTTCTTCTCCGAGCTACGCAATTCGTTTGTAAACGCCTTGTAACCCGTCGTAGGGTAGTAATAGTATAATAGTAATAGTACTAATTATATATATATAGTAATAGTATAAGCAGTAGTGGCTGTTATTGTTTTGGTTGCTATGGATGTTGTTGTTGCTAGTGCTGCCGTTTTGTTGTTCCAGCCGCAATGGCCCTAGTAGCTGGAGTTACGTGGAGCGCAACCTGGGAGCGATGTCACCTAAGGCGTTAAATCACTGCTATGACTGCCCCTGCAGTCTCCAAGAAACACACATTCAAGTCATGATTTTAATGAACTGAAGTCATCCGTAGCAGACCATTGTAGCCTTCTGGGGATTGTCCGTCGAGGTTGATCTCCACTTCGGTTGCTTAGGTGGCGAAACACGACTGAATAGGTCACCGTTTTGGGCGAGTACCACGTATGTGCCCATTCATCGCTTACGAGGTGTACATCAATACTTTTCCAACTCTGGCATGGAGCAACTTTCTTGAGTGGTATTTGTTGTACCTTCCGCCTATACCGAATTTGCAGATAATGAAACTGCGTGCCGTTTCTCCGTTTCACCTTCCTGTTGCTTGGTCGGAGACTTTACATGACTGTTTGCACTTGGCACTAGTGCCCCGTTTTTTTTCCTCTCCCAACCGGACTACATGGCTTATGTGTTCATGACGCGGAATTCTCTATAACGCTTAAACCTGGTGATGAAAATCATAAGGTTGCTGCACTGATGTCACCTAGTCTTCACAAGTTGCTTGTAACAATAAGCTAGGAGTAGTTTGCTTCCGGATGTTCGATT